TCTCCAAGACCTGGAGCACTTCTGCACTCCTCCTTGGCACTTCCGTCAGGAAGCGCCACACTTATTTCAAAACTTTCGAGGACTTCTTACAGGAACCGGCTCCGCTCAGGTTCCTATGCACATCCTCTTCCATCACGGACTGTTGGCGCGACGGCAGTACTCGCATAAACGAAGGCTTCTATGGTTGGAGGCCTTCAGATATCCTTGGCAACCCTCTTGAAGATGATAACACTCTCCACTGCCTACATGAACCCTCGCAGGCAACGTAGGGACCGGTTCCCTAATAATCCTGACCTCAGATCTTGGCTGGAACGTCTCTCTTGCTACCGGAGGTTCAGTTTGTGTACTCACTTCTTTGTGGACTCTTACGGGTTGTCTACTTCTTCCTGTTGGAACTGCAGATGGTGAGACATGTGGCGCAGGATGAAAACTGGATGATGATGCTGATGTTTGAGGCCTTGCTAAGAGCGAAGCTGCTTGTTCTGACCCGGTGGTACTCGAACCCCTACGCCTTCTAACCCCTTCGGACCCTGGTGGCGTTTGCGTTGGTGGATCTGTCAAAACAGACTCCAATACATCGATCCTCGCCTGAAGCTCTGAGCTGATTGCGTTTCTCAAGCGCTGGTTCCTTTGAACTCTACGTGCCTGCTTTCTAAGCAATGGTGCCCCAAACTTCCTCCAGACTACCTTACCTACTTCCCACAGAGCAACAGCAGTGACTACCAGCATCCCTGCAACAAGATACAACACTACATCCGACTTGACATCCCCTCTCTCACTCTCCTCTTCTTCTTCTTGACCCTTTACAACTCCTGACTGCAACAGCAACATGAGTGCAAGAAGGATCCTACGGGTGTGGGGTTTAGGGTCTAGTCCTACCGAGAAAATCTCCTCATCGAGAAGACCCCACTGGTCCGCGAGGTCCTGGATCCTTGGACGCGGAAGAGCCTTCGTCAGCAGATCTGCTCTCTGCTTGTCTCCCCGCTGAAACTCTAGCTCGAACTCCTCCTCTGCCAACTTTTCTGTCAGCCAAGCACAACGGATTCGGAGATGCCGAGTTCTCCAAGAGAATTGTCCTTGCTGTATACAAATTGCTGAGGTAGAATCACAAAAAATCTGTCTTTGCTGAACCTCGAAACCCATTGCCGAGATCAAAGCCGATATGGATTCTAAGGCCACTGCCCCCTCTTGAAGGGCGAGAAGCTCTGCCTCTGCGCTACTCAACACCACGAATGGTTGCCTACTTGACTTCCATTGTAAAGCTCCTGAGTGTAAAAACAGGCACCAACCGGTGTGGCTCTTCGCGCCGTCTGGCGCAAATGATGCATCGGTGTACGCGTGCAGCTGTTCTTCTGATGCCTGATATCTAAGTCCCAGAGATTTCGTTGCTACTGCATAACACAATGCTCTGGTTGCTACCCTTTCGCTACGCACCGGGGCTCTTGTGGCTAGAGAACCTGCTAGAGCAGCGACAAACCCCAGGTCTGGTCTACTCCGTTGGCTGAGCCACAGTAATTCACCCGTTCTTTGCTGTGCTCGAAGTGTGGTTTCCGGAGTCGGATCTGGGTCCGACGGCAACAAGCTGAAACTAGCATCATCCTTTGACACTGGAGTTTTGAAACATCCCTTCAAATCTTGAGTTCTTGCAATCTCTTCCAGGTATGAGCCTTGGCTCAAGAAAAACCCATTGGGTATGACTGCAATGTCTGTTCCCAAGAATTGAATTGGCGATCCTTCTCCCGCGTAAGTCAACGGAGACGTGTCCCACAGTTTCCGCACCATGCCCGCTACGGCATCAATGATCTCGCGTGGACCTCCAAACAACAAGTCATCGACGTATACCAGCACGAGTGCGAGGGTTTCCCCATTCAGTTGCCCTACCCTCTTCACGAGCCACAAGTTTCCATCCAAATCACACTGAAGTAAGGTGACCTCTCCTTCTGACGTTGGTATCACTTGGTTCTTCAGCAGGGCGTCCCTATGCAACCCCCAGAGGCGTGGGGCCTCTCTCAGGCCGTAGAGGGCGCGTGATAGTTGCCAGTGTTCGTCATCTTCTATCACTCCAAGCAACTTGAGGATGGATGGTGGCTTCACCAGCACCGCTGGGAAGTCACTCTCGGGCATCGGAGTCTGTAAAAAGGCTGCCACTATATCAAGGACAGCTAGGCTCCACCGCTTCCTACTCGTGATAATCAGCAAGATACGTAGTGTTTCTGATGACGCCCCGGAGGCGTATACTGGAAGTCCTGTTTCATCTGCGTAGTTCCCGCAACATACGATTCGAGCTTTTCGACGGAAAAACATGGTTTCTACCCAACCTGCGTCATCCTTTGAAACTGACGTTCCACTCGTCAATGCTCCTTGCGCGGGGGGCTTCACACTGTAAACGATCTTACTCGGCACCTGAATCGTATTCGGCAAATCAAGAAGTCGCCTGAACTCCTTCGAACTTCGGTGCAATCGCTTCAGACCATGTTTTATCCCGTCAAACTCTTTCTGTATCGCTGGCTTCCACTTCATCAGATGTTGCTTTGCTTCTTTCGGGTCACAAAGGTGCACGACTTTAAGTGGCGAGCTCAATGACTCGAGAAGCAATTCCAAGTCTGACGTGTACGATTGTTCCACTTTCCTTACTGCTTGAATGGTTCTGAGGGACTTTGGGAGTGACTGAATCTCCGCGGTGGCTTCACATGACTCCTCCTCAACCAGCTCCACATAGCCCTCGCCACTCAGTGGGACAAGCAGTGACCGAACATTCCTTGGAACAAAGTCCTGAGATGTACCCGAACTGCTCTGCGACGGTTGTTCCGCGCCTTCGTGATGTCTTAAACAAGCTTGCAATGGATTCATCTCTTTAGGCACCACCGGTAGCGGAGCCCTCAGAGAGCTTTGGGAGGAAATACCTTCCCGGTTTGGACTAACCTTGAGTCCCCAATTCACATGCAACTCCACACTCTCGGAAACGCCTTGAACCCTTTCAGTCCAACCTCCAGACCGCTGAAGACCCGGATCCTCAAGAGCCGAATCACTCGCGTCCTTGTCGCGAGACCTTGCAGCAGGGACCTGCTCCAAGCAACCCCTGCCGCCTTCAGTCTGATGACGGCGCGTTCCGACGCTTACATCCGGTAACCTGCGGTTCCCTTCTCCAATTCCCAGGAGACCGGAGTCCTCAAGAGTCTGATCCCCAAGGGTGCTTGAAGAAGGATTTACCGCGCGTGAAAAAGATGAAGCAACATCATCAAGAAACCTTCCACTCGACCTTTCCGTGAGCTGTCTCAGCTCCGCCGTGCTAAGGCCCTCAATTAGGCCTTCGCACGGAAAGCCTAAATTCTCCATGTTCGCCCAGGTGTCAACCTTCACTTTCTCCAGTGTTTGAATTCTATAACCGACCAGTACAACCCTGTTGCCTTGAAAGCTCGTGACGCCGTGGCGCCTTCTGGGATTCAACAGGGAAGGAACCAGTGTTTGCAAGCGATTCACTACTCCATAATACTTCCGACCCGAGTCTGACTTCATTTCTTCAATGCTCCCTGTTACGACATCGCCGGGCATCACCTGAGTCCAATGATGCCCCCCTGTCTTAGGCATGAGAAGCGGAAGCACAACGTTCATCGACTCCGGATGATTATTCCTATCTGTATGAAGGGGTGGGACGTCTGTAAAGAGTCCAATGGAAGTGTACTCATAGTCTGGCGCGTACTGCTGCAAGAGGGCGTTCAGAAGTCGAACAAACAATGGCCTTTGTCTGTTACCAGTGTGTTCTCCTACTATACCAGCTCCATGCCTATACAAGCCTGCCAAAAACTTGCTTCCCGGCATCTTCTTGCACCATTTAAGTACACACTGTCTAGCCTTCACAGGGTCCCAATCCGATAGCACCTTTTGAGCCTCCTCCTCAAACGATGCTATGAGTCCGTCTTCCCTGTTAACCTGGCGCACAGCTGGACCGTCTGTTGGTGACGGGGGTTTGGTTTTCCCGGTAAGTCGTCTACCAACCAAAGGAACATGCATCGGCG